GCAGTCTCCTGCCCGAGCATGCTCTAGGTGAACATTTAGAATCAGATCGATGCGGGTTCTCAATCGCCTTCAGATGGGATTCTGCTGTGCTGGTCCTTAGCCTTGTTGTTTGGGGCCCCTGAATCAGTTCTCAATCAGAGCGGCCCTGTGTGCAACAGAACGAAACCCCGCCCGGTCCTGGGTCCTCCTCACCGTTGTTCTGGGACCCAAGCCCATTGCTGCAGCCACTGTGTCAATGCCAAGGTCAGGATTCTGAGAGACTCTGTCCCTAGCCCATGAAGCCCACAGGGTCCTTGAACCTGTGTAGCTTTCCAACACTGCAGATCTCGCACAGCATGTGATATGCATGAAGGATGCCCACAGCACCCTATACTCCCTTCTCCCTCACAACTGTTCAGGGCCGTGGGGGCTGCCATTGCGTGTCTAGCACTGCTCGCCCAGGAGCCCTCGGGGTGGAGCACTTGGCTGCTGGCTGCAAGCTTGGTGGTTGAAAGCCCCCAGCCTCCCCGTGGAAGAATGATGGTGGCGGTCTGCTTCCATAAAGAAGCAGGGACACTTCCACCTTGTTCCACACGACAGCAGTGCGTGGGCCAAGACTGGACCCTGGTCTGATGTCTGCCTCTGTGCCACATCAAGACCCCTTTAAACTCCTGTAAAAGGATCGACAGCTGAACACCGAGCGCACCAGAACAATCCAAAGGGGATTGTTGGGAAAGGAGAGAGTCCAGCCAAGTTCCCAAAGCAAAGAAACAGACGCCCGGAAGGTGCTGGAAGGCCTGCAGCCGAGAAGGAACAGCCAAGAAGACTCTAAGGTGCGAGGGCCTGCTCTGAAACACACCCACAGGGCATGGCCAGGAGCTGGACAGCAGCCCTGCTGTGCAGGAAATGCAAAGGGGTGGAGTCCCAATGGGCCTGGGCAATTTACCAAGGACGTTTGTTTTCTGAGAGGCTGGAGGCTGGCCCCTAGGGAGCTGCTCTCTGGCCCCCCTTCACCTGCCTCTGTGACATAACGGAACAGAGGCCTCACCCTCCTCATGAGCCCAGGGCTCCAATGTCCATCCGTTCACTCAGTCCTCACCAAGGTCCTGGAAGGAGCCCTCGGGCGCAATGGGCTCCTTGTTGGGCTGCTAAGCATGAGGTCAGCAGTTTGAAACTACCAGCCACTCTGAGGGAGAAAGATGAGGCTTTCTCCTCCTGTGAAGAGCGACCGTCTCGGAAACCCAGGGCCGGGGCAGTCCTGCTCTGTCCTAGGGTTGCCATGACTCATCCATCAAGCGATGGTGGTGAGTTTGGTTTTCTAAGGTGGTGGGACACAGGGCTGTCTATCCCCATGTTCAGGTGAGGATTGGAAACTCTGAGAGAGGTGCATGGGTGCCCCCAAGCTCATCGCTGCCCCAGGACACACACCTAGGTCTTCTGGCCCCAAGGCTGTGGCTGGATCTCCCGGTTAGCTATCAACAAGAGCAATATTGACCCCCATGTGGGTGGGCTGCCCCTTGGGGATTGTGAAGGTGGCAGACATCAGTGCTGGCTGCCTTTCGATACCACTCAGTAGGCAGTGGAAAGGAAAGGCCACCAAGCCGACGGTCACACGCAGGACAGACAGCGGCTGTCCCTGGGGAAGCATTTAGAAGGATGTGGCACATGGTTCCGGTAAAGTGAGCGGATGTTCAAATTAATGCACGGTGCCGTTGGGAACAACTGGCGCTTTCATCAGGAAGGGCCGCCCGAGTGAGGCCTGCCACGTCCGTGCTGAGGAAGAGTCTGCAGTCCTGGGCAGGGCAGGGGGATCTGTGGCTATGGGACGGTTTCTGAGATATTGACAGCTCATAAGGAGCCATGGTGGCGCAGGGGCTAAGTACTCAGCCGCCAACCCACAGGTTGATGGATTGAACCCACCAGCTGCTCCCCAGGAGAGAGGGGGGGGCCGTCTGTTTGTATGAAGATGGCTGCTGCCAGCCCCCATCCCGCCGGTCCCAGCTCAGAGCAGCCCGTGTCCAGCAGAACGAAACACCGTCTCCGCTTGCGCACCCTCACCCTCGCTCCGACGTTTGAGCAAGGTGGCGGCCACGGCGCCAACCCACCTCACTGCCCTCTGACTCCACCAAGCGTGGCATCCTTCCTCAGGGACCGGTCTGTCCTGCAAACGTGCCCAAGGTGGTGAGGTGAATCCTGGGAGAGCCTCCTGGCTTGACTTTCTCCAAAACAGACTTGCCAGTCCTCCTGGCCGTCCACGGTCCGCTCCATCCACTCCGTGACGCTCTTCCCTATCCTGGGAAACCCGCGTGGTCATGATGACCTGGTAGCGCAGGGGGTGG